CCTCCATGACGAAAAATCTTGATACCAAGTTTGATAGCTCAAAAAAAATTTGAACGTATCTGCGAGCGAGGGCGTTAAGTATGCCCTCATCATGGCAGTTGTGGCGAAAAGCCACCAAGATCTCTAAGTCACAACAACCTGGAATTTTGTTCTTGACAAACAGGAAGCGCATCCAAAATGTTGGACTGTCTCGTTCGATTGTTGCTTTACGTAGATTAGATCCCAGACATCGAGTGCCCCAAGTTATTCGTGCAGTATTCGGTGTGGGGGTGGGCGGGATCAAAATTTTGACCCCTATGCATTGTGGGCTTGACGCTCCGAAGTGCTCCATCCGAGTTTGTTGTGCCGAGGTTGGATTCACAGGGCTATCCTTTGGGTCCGAGCTCCAAGCTTCTTTTGATTGGCCAATCTCATCGGCCTCTAACGATTGGTGTGTCGAATCATGGCTCGTTTGCATGTTGAGATCCTCGGTCGGGTTAGGGGATAGAGCATGAGGCTCAGTTATAGATTCGATATCGTCACCCTTCAATTCTTGAGGGAGGAGGGGGTGATCCGATGCATTTTTGCTTCTCGGTAGATCCGATGACTTGAAGGTCCGGCATGGGAGATACGCCTCTTTGGGTATGATCGTTGATCAATGCCTCCATTATTCTAGAGCGACCAAATAGCTGGACCTGTATGGGACACCAATGTCGTGCTAAAATTGTCAGATCTTGGGTAGGGGGTCCCGATTTGTAGGTGTAGGTACAATGATAATAGGGTACGAAGGGAGAGGATGTTTACTCAGGTTCGAGCCCTCTCAAAGAGGTAAAACCCTACGTCCTGGTTTGATTGTATTGATATGATAGAGTACATAGTACAAGATGATCTACCTCGCGATCGTATGATTGTGTTCTAAACCATAAGGCTGGTAATCGTGTCTCTAAACACTAAACCCCACGGATCATATATGCACCAGGGATACCTGGGTTACACGTATGGTTAGTTGCCATCAGGCCGGTTATTGAGCTATCCTAGAAGTACATGTCAAGTCTTTGGAGGTGTCCATCTTGATCACACCGAGGTTCAGAGCTTCCGAAGCCCTTCCTTGTAATGATCGATGGGCGTGAGCTCGGCCCATGGATTGTGGGTCGTATAGGTTAGTACCCCTTAGTCTAGGTCACTGTCAGGGGGCATTTTGATGAGCTGGTTCTGGAGCGCCTTCGGAGCTACCGCTCAAACTCAGACTCCTATGGCGGAGATGGCTCCCACGCAATGTTTGACCAATCGACATTGTCAGTCGGAGTCTGGCTCCCGCTTGAAGAAGGAAGACACCATCGTGGTGGAGGACAACGTCCCAGGCGACATGTAGCGAAGAGGTGTTGCGGACAGGGTCGCCCACTGTGGCGTGGATGGGAGCCCGAACTCTCGCGAGATCCATCGCCCTGTACGGGCAGCAGCTGAGCATACTAGAAGCAGTCGAGCAACAACATTGCTCGACAAAAGTTCGCTTTCCTCAGCGGTCATTTTCTTGACCATGGCATTGGGCGGCAACGGAGCAGACCGAAAGATGATGAGCAGCCACATTGCCAAGAAACGCTCACACTCCTCGGCGTTCATCTTTTTACCATCATTGGGCACGTAGAGTTTGTGTGGAGTGGAGTGGAGACTGAGAGTGAAGGGAGCAATTAAAAATAGTTGGGAATTAGCACACACTTGTGGTCTAAAAGTGTAGTGGAAACAAAGTAATCTCAGCACCACATCATGTGCTAATTCAAGGATCACTGTTTAGCACGGAAGAAAACATATATATCAAGCATATATGAAGATACTATGTTTAGCATGAACACAGGACAAGTCTTGGGTTGCAAACATCAGCTAGTTAGGACAAGTACTAATTGATTTTAGCAAGCAAGCAGGTAGGAATAGTCCTATGTGCTCTCAAGCCAAAAGTAAAACAACAAGCATCAACACAAAGACATCATATTTTACGTAGAAAACTCCTCAACATGAGGGAAAAAACCACGAGTCGAAGCCACCCTAATCTTCTTCCACTATTATAAAATGTTGGATACAACAAGTTCTTCTTTAGATAGCATTAGATGATCTTGTACATCAAGATTATGCATCTTGGATAGCAACAATAAATTTTGGGGTTGCAAGAATTAGGGATTGAAACAATCACACCAAAGATGATGGAAGGGGACAAGGTGATGGATCTGAACTTCAAAACCTTGGGGAGGAGCTCCCTTTACTTGATATCAAACTTCTTCCTTCGTCTCTCTCTCTCTCTCTCTCCCTCCAATGTAGGCTTGACTCAGATTCGTCGCTTTGCTTGGTGGCTGCTGGATCAGAGGCTAACATCCGCCTTTCCTCGCGTGAGTAAAGTTCAAAATGACCCTAGGTCATAACCCTAATAGGTAGTGGGCTCTTGCACACCTTTGAAATGCCTAAAAGGCTTCAACTGACCTTATCTTCACAATGCACACGAGAAGGATATCCCAAGAAAAAGAGAGGGTTGAGCTGTCGGTTCAATGTGGAGGACAATACGCTCCGTTGATCTTCCCCTCGGTTTTAGATTGTAGGATTCCAAATTGTCCGGACCTAGATGGCAAAGCTCGTTGAATTGTAAAAAAAAAGTGTCCGGACCTGACAATCTGAACAAGATCGGAATGGATACCTGTCTTGGAGATGCCCTAAAGAAACAACAGAATCCTGTATACCTAAGGGAGTCATGACCACTAATGTATTTATCTCGACATGCAAGTATTCCACCTCATCATAAAATTATAACGTCTGTATCAACATGCAATCACACGTGGAAAAACCCCACCACAACATTTAGCCATGCATGGAAAAATGTTTTCCATTCAATTATTCTAATTATATTCAATAAATATTTTACAACAATACATAATCAAAATTAATAAGTCATGTGTATGTTTAATTTTGGTTCTCATGTTACCAACCCAAATTTCATCAACCAATTCATGCAGGAACTCGCCGGGTATTCTTTGCTCGAGCCCAAATGAACAATAAACTCCAATGTTTCTTAACTCGAGCTCAAATGAATTGGAATGAACAGTAAACTCCAAAAAAATGTTTTTTTCTTTACAAACTTTGACAGATGTTTTGACTTTTGAGTGCTTGCAAAGTTCATCATGGAATGACGTTGATTTTCTTTTCTTTGACACGGCTTCCATGGATGCCATTCCATGATGAACTTTGCAAGCACTCAAAACATTTGTCAAAATTTGCCCCAACAAATCAGACATTTTTGAAATTTTTTTTCAATCATTGCGGACTTGGGTGCACTCCCATGAACCTACTCGTATTTCTCCAAGAGAATGTAGAGGGCCAGTCTTCGGGAAATACACTTTGGTTCCTGGTTGTATATGCACCCTATATGGGGATTTTTTTAATATTTTAATAAAAAGTCAAAATAGGTAAGAACTATTTTGACAAAACACTTGACTTACTTTTGCACTGACATATAAATGTCGACAAAAAAAAAAGTTGACCTCACAGCAAAGAAGACAAAATTTATTTGCTATTATAGGTCACTATTCACACTATTTTAACCAAAAATTTGTCTTTTTTGAAAAGAAGTCAAAAGGATATATTTTTTTGTGGATTTTATTTCTCACGAGTACAATAGAAGGTCAAGTTTATTTCAAAAATATTTTCAGGAATTTTTGACTTTTTGTTGAATTACTAATTTTTTCCCATATAGGGTGCATATGTCCCCATAGACCAAAAATTCCCCTCCGCCGGTCTCCACAATAAGATTGTGCAGTACTAGTAGGATAGCAGTTTTGCACGTAGGAAATGGAAAAGGCGCGCGCACATGAGCTCATGCAAAGGTAAAGCTGGGCGGAAACCCGTGTGATTCTTTTTACCACAAAAGGGCAAAAAAGAAACATCCCATCCACACTCACTCGCTCGCTCGCTCAAGTAGTAGTAGTAGCCCGTAGCCCTGTTTCCCGATTTTAACCCTGAGGTAACTAGTCACGCTGGCGAGTGGGTAAACTTTCTACTCCCAAAATGGAGCACTACTGATGAACAGCGACATTAATACCTACCAATTCTGCCACTCACAGGTCTACTAGGAGGCAGCAGCTACAGACCCGGTGTTAAAGGAAGGGAGAGAGGGGGAGGGGAGGGAGCTGGCCCCCCATGGGAAACATCTACTGTGGGGAGACGCTAGCTGCGGCGGCCTGGCGCTGCCATCACGGCCGTGCTGTTCATTCATGGCACTGCTGCGCTGCGCTGCGTTGGCGGTGGCAGCCGCAGACGCAGACGCAGAGATGCAGGGCGCTGCTCTCTCACCTCCTCTCGGCCCTGCGTGATTTGATAAGTGGAGGCAGGCGACGCAGCCAATGCCAAAGATGGCATGAATAGGCAGGGGGGCACAGCCTTTTCACCATACGTACTTCTCCCCGGCATGCACGGGCATACAAAACCCGTACGTTACACGCCGTTGGGGACACTAGCATGTGGGGCTGATTCACAGCGAGCCCACCTGTCAATCGCCGAATGGCACCCTGCCGCACGGCACAGGATCCGCGTCCACAAAACCCAACCCCCACGCACCGCGCGCAGCCGTTTTACCCAGCATGGCAAGAGGCGCATCCCGAGCATCACTCGTCGACTGACGAGGACCTGAGGCGGAGGCCCTAGAGGGAGCAAAGCAAAAGGTGCTGGTGAGTGGTGACTATAGCTACCATGACAAGTTGAGAGAGAGAGGGAGAGACCCACACTAGGCTGTCGCACCAACGGGTCAGGAGGGAGGGAGAGAGAGAGAGAGACGGGGGTTTTAATTTGAAGGGCGAAGCCGGTCACTCGTGTGTGTGCGTGTGTTTCCCCCCGTCGTCGCCACTCTCCCTCTTTCCCCTCTCTCCCTCGAGAGAGGAGAGGAGAGGGGGGCCAGCAAGCAGGCAAGAGCAGTGTTCCACCTCCACTTCCACGACCAGCATCGCCAGCGCACCACGAGCTAGCTAGGGCCGACGACAGGCGCCGCAATGGAGATTGGCAGCGGCGGCTGCGGCGGCGGCGACGGGAGCGGCGGAGGGGGCGGGGACGACCAGCAGCGCCACGGGCTCAAGTTCGGCAAGAAGATCTACTTCGAGGACAGCACGGGCCCCGGCGGTGGCAGTGGCGGCGTCAATGCGTCCTCGTCCAAGCCGCCCGCGGGCGGCGGGAGGAAGGGGAAGGCCGTGGCCGCCGGGGGAGCGTCCGGCTCCGCGCCGCCGCGGTGCCAGGTGGAGGGGTGCGGCGTGGATCTGAGCGGCGCCAAGCAATACCACTGCCGCCACAAGGTGTGCTCCATGCACACCAAGGAGCCCCGCGTCGTCGTCGCCGGCCTCGAGCAGCGCTTCTGCCAGCAGTGCAGCAGGTCACCATTTCTCCTCCCACCTCCGCCTCCTCTCTCGCCGCGTTTCTCTTCTGTCTTCTCCCCGCCAATTTCTTGACGTATTCTCTAGTAGTAATACATGTTTTATTCCTAGCCACTTTTTATTGGCTTCTTGTTCAAGGTTTCCTTCTGTCCACATTAGGTCAACTGTAGCCCAAGTATTAATAGGTATAGTAGTACTCCAGTAGTAGTATCATTGTGACAAACTTAGCTTGGTGGGGCCTTCCGCTTCTGTCAATTGCTTTGCGTCTAATTAGTTTCACAAGCTTCTTTCATTGGGTTGGGTGTTAGCGACTTTTTTTACTTATTATTACGGCCATTGCTTGTAGCAGCTTACTATACTTTGTATTCTATATTTGAGTGTGCTGATGATAGTTCTTAAGTTGGTAGACTGATTGATATGTTTTCAGTGATGTGACATCCCTGCCTTCCGGTTGCTTTGCATAAGCGAAAATGCTTCACACACGACAGTGTTTGGACGATAACTGCACGATCGAGGGATCCAGCGGCCGCTGCTGGGCTGTGCTCGACATTCTTCGGCTGGATTTAACCGTCGTGCACAAGTCGTCCAAACTTTATCGTCCCCATAGCACTGCTCTTGCATAAGATTCCTCTAGCTAGCTTATCTACTATACTAGTACTCCCTCCGGTCCTTTTTACTTTGCATATTAGGTTTGTCTGAAGTCAATCTCATCCAACTTTGACCAAGTTTATATAAAAAATTATAGACATTCACATAACAACACCAATATCATTAGATTCATCTTGGAATATATTTTCATATTATATTTATTAGATATTATAGATGCTAATAATTTTTAATATAAATTTGGTCAAACTTAGCAAAGTTTGACTTTCGGCAAAACCAATGTGCAGAGTAAAAAGGATCGGAGGGAGTACTTGGTTGTTTACTAGTAGCCGATTCGTGGTAGTCCAAAAACTATCCATTTCGTATAATTAGTTCTAAAAATGGTCAAATCAAATCAGGAACAGTGAGAAATAACGATCTTCCATTGTAGCATTCTGCGTCGTCATAGGTTGGTAGGTTAGTCCATATTCGGTTCAACTCAAGCTCCTTTTCTTTTTGTGAGGGGCAAGCTTCTCTCTTTAGTTTTTTTAACACGGTACAGACCACGCTCATATATACGCGCATACACCCATCTTATGAATACACCCGCAGACCCAATTCCTATGAGCATCTTCTAGAGACTGCGCATTGTCGAAAATCCTGAAATAAATGCGAGCACCATGACACTTCTCTCTTTAGATAGCTGACTTTCTACGCGACATGTAACTTTCTGTAAACTATTTCCGGTTTTACCTAGGTTACAAAACCCAAAGACTGCATTACAGATGTTTATATGTTTTTTAGGGGTTACAGATGTTTATATGTGCTATTCAACTTCTTTGTATTTCCTTTGTTGAAAATTTCTTTGTAAATGGGCGAATGGCTTGTGGCTCAAATTGTTTAATTGTGTTATTAATTACCATCACTTTAACTGAAAAAACAAAGCATACACATTGATTAACTATTTTGGATTTATTTTTTTGCCCCCCTCTTATTGCACAGTACTGTGTATGCTCGGGATGTTGGTGCGCTCATGGTGTGAACAACGGGAAGGAGGGGAAAAGAACTGGTTGAATATAGATACTGAAAATATGTTTGAAATAAACTTAATCTTCCACTGTACTTGTAAAAAAATCATAAAAAGCAAAACCCCATTGACTTCTTTTGAAAAAAAAACAAATTTTCCAGCCAAAATAGTGTGAATAGTGATCTATAATAGCCAAAAAAATGCCCTGAAGTCAACGCTGGTTTTTTATTCATGAAAATTTACATACTGGTGCAAAAGAAAGTCAAGTTTACTCTAAAAAAGCTTCAAAACTTTTTTGACTTTTATTTACATATTAATTTTTTTCTCATATGAGTTGTATATACACCCAGGAACCAAAGTACATTTCCCCATATTGATGAGAAATGTTCAGTTTAGATAGACACATTCAAAAAATATGTACAGTACATTAGATTTCAGTTTGCCAGTTGAAAGGGCAGTTACCAATCATTCCGTAATTTTTCATTCACTAACAACCCATTGCCATGTTTTTTTTTGAAAGGAAAACACAAGTAATGCATTACAATATTGTACCTGGCATCTCGCCAATTACAATGTCAGAGACAAATGCAGGAAAATGGCCTAGCCATATCTCTATGCAGCCATTCCCCATGCCAACACCATGCGCTGCTAAAACATGTGCAGCAACGTTACAGTCACGCTTACAGTGAACTACATCAACAACATTCAGCCCTACTTGTTTTCATAATAAGTTCTATACTCCCTCCGTTCCTAATATTTTTCTTTCTAGAGATTTCAACAAGTGACTACATACGGAGCAAAATGAATGAATCTACACTCTAAAATATGTCTATATACATCCGTATGTGGTAGTCCATTTGAAGTCTCTAAAAAGACAAATACTCCCTCTATTCCAAATTACTCGTCGCTGAAATTGATGTATCTAGAACTAAAATACATCTAGATACATCCATTTCTGCGACGAGTAATTCGGAAAGGATGGAGTATTTAGGAACGGAGGGAGTAGTTTATAAGCGAAATGACTTGTGTTCTCTGGCTCTAGTTCTTTTACGAAACTTATGAATGTCTGAGTTGTGCTAATGTCCAGCGTGTCTCTGACGAGAGGCATAATCAGAAAAGCTTAAGCTAAAATGATATCTCCCTCCACACTTGATGGACAATCCCTTTGCCCCTTGCACCTTGGTGAGGTGCATTATTGATTGTGTTAAGCCAGACATCTCACATCTGTATGAATGATTACAATCTTCTTTACACATGTACGGTTCCTTTCTCCGTTTCTTTTCTGGGGCTTGTTTTTCCACGTACGGGGTGTGATTATGAAGGCCGTTAAGATAATGTTGCTTAATGGGATGCTCAGTACTGCTATATTAAGAAGAGAGACATTCTTGGCATTACCACGCCCTTTTGACCAGACCTGTTGTTTTCCATTATGCTTGTTTGTTCCCAAGATATGCTAATATATATAGGGAGCATGTAGTACTTGAGCAGCTTTGCTATATCTTTGTTAATAAATTTGTATTCCAAACTCTACTGAAATTTTTAATACCGTTAGTAGTACCCATCGTGTATTGCATCAACTTGATTTTTGTTTTGTTTGATCATATACAATGAGACCCTGTGAGATTTGGATCCCATAACTTTTATTCGGTCATCACTCATCATACCTCTCAGGTAAATTCAGTTGAGGAGGGTTGCACCAGTTGCCTGAATGAGGGTTGTACCACTAATTCTCTGCTCGAATTTCTCAGGTTCCACCAGTTGCCTGAATTCGATCAAGGAAAACGCAGCTGCCGCAGACGCCTCGCAGGCCACAACGAACGCCGGAGGAAGGCACCCCCCGGCCCTCTCGCAACACGCTACGGGCGACTCGCTGCATCCTTTGGTGAGCAGCAGCTGCTGATTTGCCAAACTTGCTCTCACCGATCACTATTGGTCCAGTTGCATTTGCTGATTTGCTCTTGTGGTTCTTGGTGCAGAAGAACCCGGCAGGTTCAGAAGCTACCTGCTGGATTTCTCGTACCCAAGAGTTCCGAGCAGCGTGCGGGATGCCTGGCCGGGGGCTCGACCAGGCTACCGGATGCCTGGTGAAATCCAGTGGCAAGGCAACCTAGACCTGCGTCCTCACACAGGTGCAGGCACGGGATACGGCCACCACCATGCATACAGCAGCCACGGCGGCTTCCCCGGCCCAGAGCTCCCTCCAGGTGGGTGTCTCGCAGGGGTCGCCGCCGACTCCAGCTGTGCTCTCTCTCTTCTGTCAACTCAGCCATGGGACAACACCCCCCACGGTGCCAGCCACGACCACCGGTCCGCGGGCTTCGATGGCCACCCTGTGGGAGTGTCACCCTCCATCATGGCGTGTAACTACATGCCGCCGCCGGCGAGCCCCTGGGGTGGCTCCCGGGGCCATGAAGACGGCCGGAACGCGCCGCATCAGCAGCTGCCACATGACGTCCAGCTCCACGAGGTGCACCACCCAGCAGGCTCTAGCCAGCACGGCCACTTCTCAGGCGAGCTCGAGCTCGCCCTGCAGGGGAACAGGCCGGCGCCTGGGCCACGCGGCGGCGATCACGGCAGCAGTGGCGGCGCGTTCGACCACCCCGGCAGCTCGTCCAACTGGTCCCTGTAGGGGCCATTCCAACTACGTTACCCTAAGTCTGCGCAGGGAAGCATGGAACTGAAGAAGCCCCTGTCTGCCGTTCATTTTTCCCTTCTGGTCACCGGTATGGGAAGGAAGGGCTCCGAAGTGGCAGGCGACTGATTTCTTCCTTATGCATAATGTCCATGAAAACTCCAAACTATTTGCGCCCATGTGATGTAAACCTCCATGAATTTCAAGTATCGGTATGCTTGCCGAGGACTTTGACTCGGCGTATTATTCCCTTGTTAATCCTGCATTGCCAGGAATCTGTTCTTGTTTATGCATGCAAAGTTAAGAGACCACAAGCACACAGCGTGGCTTTGCAGCATGCTCTCAGCACCGGTGGTGTCTTGTTGATGGGCTGGCCGAGGTGAGAAAGTGAGATCAAGCAATGCGGTAGCTTCTTTACTCCAAAAGAACACATTAGTGGTGACTGGTGACAACTCTGGTATATTCTCTCCAAAGCATCAGCACCTGCTTTCATGTGACAGAGACTGCCAAGGAGAATGTGTTCCAAGCATCTCCTCTTTTTTCCAGTCACCATTTGCTGGGATGCTGATCCAGATCTTGTGATCTTGTTGATTTTGTTTGATGGTAAAGCTGAAACCTTTGATGTTTCCAAAGACTGACTTTAGGTCTGAACAAAATTAGGGAGCCCACTTTAGAAAGGAGAACAAATAATTGCCAGAGGTAGGGCAAGGGTGGGATGATGCAGCCATCATGATGACATAATAATTGAGCTCACACTGACAAATCTTGTGCCACATGTTGGCCCGTGATCAACAAACAGTGATCATAAATGGATCGCTTGTCCACATGAAAGATCGACACAAATGTAATTGCACTGTACACAGATTCCGGCATTGGCTGGAACAAAGAGATGAACAGTGTCAGCCTTCCCACGACTCTAACTTCAACAGTTCAGTTGATGAGTGATGAATAGTCCCTCGATTAGAAAGCAGGAATGGAAACGTCTAGTGCAATTCTTCTTACATTACCGCTAGCTGAATTCAACTCGTTTCTTCACAGCTTAACACACTACTGTCTTTTGGCCGCGGTAACTTCATTCGGAGTTCTGGACATGTCAGAGACATAACTTGAGCTCTAAATGAAGCAGTTCACACAATATGCGAACTCCTTGAAGCTTCCCATTCCATCTCTGTAATTTCAAACTGACCCAAAAAGATTTCACATGTTGAGACATTTCATACAGAACTAATACACATAATAGTAGTTAAGAATATATTGTTTCCACTAACATGCTGGAGCTCAGTTTCTCCAGTTGGCTATGAACCAGTGATTGTGTTAAGGACTAAGGTTAACCGTACACAGTCAACTAATCAAGAATATCCCAAATGTCACATTTACCATAATCTGCATGATAGAGGCAAAACAAAACGGCAAGTTTGTAATCCAGTATGTGAAGAATCCAATGCGGTAATGCCAATCATTACTGAATACAGATTGAATTGCTCATAGAATCATCACCTGCAGTGGGAAGGACAGTGCCCTTGTCACCATTGACAGAGTGGATCAGTGATCATCTTCATTAGGCCCAGGGCATTCATTTGCCAGTGCTCCTGCTGATTCAAACTGAGAAAACAGCCAAGACAACCATATTTTAAAAGCATGGAAGATGCCACAACAAACACACAATGTCTAAATGCATTTATAATTCGGAAAATGAAAATAAAAGGGCAACCTGGTGCATGTAGCTCCCGCTTGCGCAGGGTCCAGGGAAGGGTCCGACCACTTTGGGTCTATAGTACGCAGCCTTTCCCTACATTTCTAATGAAAATAGATAGAGTAAAATATGAGAATTGCAGTATCTATCTGGTTGTAATGCAGTAAAAGGGTGGAGAAATGCACTGGCAACACTAGAGATCTACTCCCTCTCTAAGTTAATATAAGATGTTTTTTGACACTATGACAGTGTCAATAAACGTCTTATCTCAAGTTAATGAGGGAGTATATAATAAAACACGGATTCTCTACTGTGATCTTCCAAAGAAGCAATGTTATTACAAGATGGGGAATCAGGTATGAATGCTCTGCCTTCTGCAGATAGTTGGCTTGTGTCCAGAATAAAACTGACCTTGCATCCACAGTAAAGGCAATAGTGGTGTTGAACACGCAGCTTATCCAATATGGTTTGTAAACCCTGCAGACATAAACGACATGTCAATCCAGTTCCTTCAGCAACACTTACAAAATGATACCTTGGGCAAAAGGAAATGCAGAAAAGAACAAATGGCAACGAAATAATGATAAATAAAAAAATAAGTAGGATGTACTTTCAGAGCCTCTTGCAGAAATGTAGGGAAAGGCTGCGTACTATAGACCCAAAGTGGTCGGACCCTTCCCCGGACCGTGTGCAAGCGGGAGCTACGTTCACCGGGCTCCCTTTTTTTTTTACTTTCAGAGCCGAGCCACTTGCTAGTGCATTTGTAACAACACAATGATCATGAGTTCAAGGGATAATTGTGGAAACATGTATGAACAACCAAATATTGGACAAATAAGCACGTTGTCACAATTATCAATTGTCATGAACTCATGATCAGTGTGTTGTGGTAAATGCAGTAGGATGTGGCTAGATTCTGAATCATGAATCCAGCATATATTACTGAATTATATCTGGTATATGACAAATCCATTAAACCTACAACAATTACGGACAACAATTACGGTGTTCTATCCAAATCACAATCTCATACACAATCCTAACCATTGGAATGTTTTTCTCATCTACTTCACTTAATTCCATTTTTGTACGAAAAATTGGCAGTAATTAGCACATCTTTGAACATGTAAGTCCGAACCTGATACTGAGCTTGCAATCCTAAATTTGACCAACAGAATTACAGAACAAAGAACGGTGCAGAAGTAAGAGTATCAGAGCAGTGAGAAACGGCTACCTCTTCAGTGATCACCTCTTCCTCTTCATCTTCTCCCTTCTCCTTCTCCTCCCCATCGGGGGCCGGTGGCTCCACCTCCCTGTTCTCCAGCTGCGCGAGCGCCGCCTCAGCCTTGCGGTAGTCCCACACCAACCTCCGTCCCTTCCATTGCGTGCTCTTCCTCGACCTCAGCTCCACCACCATCTCCTCCTCCCGCTTCCTCTCCCTTTCTTCCTCCTCCCGCGTCTTGGGTTCCGATGGCTGCGGCAGCGGCGCCACAGAAGCATCTGGCTCCGCCCCGAGTCCGGCCCGAGAGCGGCGGATCTCGATTCCAACCGGCTCGGCGCCGGCGCCGCGGGCTGCCGGGTCGTATCCCATCTGCTTCAACATCTTGAACCCAACTTGCTCTCCGGGATGGCCTCCGCCATCCCGGCCAAGGTGCGGGCGTCCTCCTCTCTCTGGCTCCTCTCGCGCTCCTGCCGCCGGCGCTCCTTCCACGGTAGCCCCTTGGCGCGCTTCGCGTGCCCTCGCGCCGGCGGAGCCGGCTTGGGGGGTTGCTTCCGGACCCCGAGGCTCCTGGAGGGAGAGGGCGGGCTTGGCGGGAGGAAGTGGGACAGGTCCCCCATGTAGTCGTCCTCGGCGTCGGCCTCAACGGTGGTGTTTGGCTCCATGGCCCTGCGGTGGTCGGGGCGAAGCGAGGTCGGCCGGGGAACGGCGTGGCGACTTGTTTCCGGCCTGGGGTAAGTCTTTTTTTTTTAGATCGGGTTTTGTTTTTTGAGATCGGGTGGGGTCAAGTCGGTTTACACTTCTGGTTGGGCTTCGTACATGGAATGGATGGATGTTGTCTTTCCGTCGGTGAAAACCTGGCAATGGGCTGGCATGGAATAAACCACCGGCCGCGGCATGTTTTTTTTTTGACAGCGAATAGACTTTATTCCTCACATAATAGACAAGTCATTTACAAAAAGAAGAGAAATAAAGTCCGGGATAGAACTATCCCAAAATCCCGAAGATCTAATGGTAAGAGAATTTCTAGCTAAGCTATCTGCTACCTCATTCGCTTCACGAAAACAATGCACGAAGAAAGTCTTTGCAAATTCCATCTCCATTTGCTTACACTCCCTGATGATAGCCGCCTCAGGACCAAAGTATGTTTCTTGTTGATTAAAGGCTTCCACTGCAACCGTACTATCAGATTCAATAATCAGTGAATTACACCCAATCCTTTCTGCGAAAATCATTCCATTTCAAGCTGCAATTATTTCAGTTGCATCAACATTATTAACATGTGGTATGAACCAATTAGCTGCTGCAATAAAATCACCTCTGTCATCGCGAGCAACAGCACCTGTAGCTCCAGATAAATTTTCAGCACAAAAGGAGGCATCAACATTTATTTTAACTGCCCCTCTAACTGGTTTTTTCCACATATGATCATGTTTTCGAACTGGTTGTTTAGGAGTTATCGCTTTAACAAAGTTAGTGCAAATAACCTTAATAGCAGTAGCAGTGCGGTTAGGGCCAGGATATTTTCTCCCTTCACGAATTGTCGTCGCTGCCACCAGATGTACCAGGCTACAACTGCAACTAATTCGGGCAACGACAACTCTCCTGCAGCAACTTGAGCCCTACCAATGATCTCCATGGTGACTGATCCAGACCGGTCTTCAGCAACCGCCTTTGTGATAACATCTACCAGACCAAGTTCAGACCAAATTTCAGTAGCACGAGGGCAAGTGAATAAACAATGTTGGATGTCTTCAAACCCAACATGACAGATTGGGCACTCTCCACTTGTTGGGATATGACGTCCCGCAAGAACTCCGAAACAAGGCAGTACTCCCCTAAGCACTTTCCAAACGAAAAGCTTCACTTTACCTGGGATATGAAGACTCCAAATATGTTTCCATATAGTGTTCAGTTGGGAACTGCCTTGACCCTCCGCCCGATTCCATTGATGATCGAACTAATGTTCAAATTCCACATGATAGGCCGACCGAACAGAGAACGTCCCTGATCGAGTACCACTCCATGCAAGAAAATCCTCTAACACTTCCACTCGAAGAGGTATTTGGAGGATTAGATGAACAT